AGGTGTTGACTGTCTAAACTTGTTTTTATATTTTTGAGAGATTAATTATTCTTCAGAACACCTGTTCGGCGTTTCCCATTAGGCAAATGTAATACCTACATATACCCTACAGGAGAACATAATGCAGGTACCGAAAGTGACTTATTATGAGTAGATAACTATTCCCGTTTATCCAGTCATACCCTCTTCCATGAAAAATATAAACAAATGTTTTTATACAATTTGGGTCCTGATAAATCTCAAACTATGATTTGACAAATTTCTCAGTGTTGTAAATTCGTCTATAGTTCTCGTCGAAAAATTAAGGAGAAAAAGTAACAAATTTAACATTAGAACAGTTTTCTAGATAGCTAATAATTTAAGGACCTTTAGGTATGTCAAAAACGCGCCTAATTAATGATGTTCAAAATTCAAAAAATTATATTTACAGCATACCTTCTAAATGGTATACCGAAGCATCCCGAAAATAAAATATTTGGGACCATCCTTAGGAAAACGATCATACAAAAGGGTTCGACCAAAGTTTTGAAGAAGGAAAAAAATAATTTTTAAAAAGGTGAAATATGTATTTAAGGTTACTCTATGAACTTAGATTCTTGTTGGCTAACAAATTCTAAAAGAAATTACCTAGTACTTAGTAGAATCAATATCATAATATGATATTTCTTAACTATGGAAACAGACACAAATAAATTCAAAACGAAGTGTTATTCCAAATTCTGATAACGAAAACAGATTTATTTTCGAAATTTCAACTTATTGAAGCGCGCGATATACAAATAGGCAAACCTTTTTCATAAAAATAACACCTGATTGATCTTTTCGGTGAAAGGGTTTATTTCATCAATCTTTGTATTTTTTTAAGTAGAAATATACCCAAATAAATAAAGAAAAAACTAAAACAATGTCACAGAAACTTCGAAAATAAATTATTACAGGCTAAATTATACAATTTTACCATAAGTTAATCTTCTCTTTATCATTAACGGTTTCCGAGATAGCACCCATCTTATCCAATTTGAAACACTATGTTTAATCCCTAACAGGGAATGGTTTGATGCAATAGATACCTACTTGTTTTCTTTTTCAAATCGTTTGTTGTACATAAACTTGTGAGAGTAACCAAATATTTGTTGGTGAAAAGTTTATGTTGCACAAAAGTCTCACGTTATAACAATACCCAATTTACCTGTTTCTGCTTCAACGATTGAGTACTATAATTCAAAAGTTCAAAACGATAATTCAGTTTAAGATTTAAAGAAAGGTCATGAATTGTTAACCTAAATTTACAATGAAATTTATATATTTTCGACAATTTAAACTTAAATACATGTCTACACCTACTTAGGTATCTTTGCAAAAAGTAGTTTAGTAGGTACCTAAGTACTTTTTTCTAGTTAAAAAAATCGATATAGGTACCTATGTTCCTAAATGATAATAGTTACCTACTTATTCTGGATAAATAAGATTCATTTAAGATAGATATTCATTTAAAATATCCTATTTGTAAATTTTAAATATTCTCTTTTTTAAGAGTAAATCGTTCGTACTTAGTTGTTAAGGTTGATGAATATATTATGTATTAAATTGGTAATAATTTATATTTATTATATACCTATTGACTAATTTGTTTCGAGTATCTACCTACACGTTTAGGTGTAAGGATAAAAATTAGTTTCAGACATTGGTGTAGGTATCGAACAATTTCATTTGAGAGGGGTACTATTGGAATAAATATTCGAAGAGGAATTATTCCTTGTTGATCATAAAATACAATACCTAAGTAAGTAGTTTCACAAGATATTCTTATATGCCCATCTTGGAAAAGTTTCCAATCGTGTTAAACTGTAGAAATAGTATACTGTATTTATGGAGCTATAGACCTGTCACATTTTTAGGTATGTAGGTACCTACTGACTTTATTATTTATGAAAACTACGGGTATAGATAGCCTTTGGCTTCGTTTGCTATTTATGTAACGTTCCCCATTTATATCATTAAAAAAAAAACAATTCAGCTTTCGTTACTTGAAACTTCAAATTTGTTTTAAAATAGGTGAAACCTAGGTACCTATTTTTTTTAGCGACTAAAGAGGTCGAAGGGCTAATAGACTTATTTAATCACAAGATTTATTGCTATAAAAAAATAGCAGTAAACTAATGACACTATTTGAGTTGTATTTAAATATATGTATATTGTATACAGAAAAATACTTCAGTTACACGTGTTTAAATTACAAATCAACATTAATTTTATGAAATTAACATTGATATGAAAAGTATTCACATCTAAGTTGTCATTGGTTATACTTTTGTATGGGTTTATTAATTTTTAAATCAGAGGAGTATATTTAGCGACGGATAATATCGACTACGGAGAATAGGTAAGTACCTAGGTACCTACTTTATATTCAGGTGATATCTGAGCTTACAGTGCCCAATAAACTGATAATCTTAACAAAGAGAAAATCTGAATTAAATGTTAAATGAAACTAAAGGTAGATAGGTATCTCCGGAAAGAAATCTAATCAATTCGTTCATAGTTTGCTAAACAATTTTTGAAAATATCGCGGTGGCTCCCAAAATAACTTAAATTTTGCTACAATGAGAAGAGATTTTAAGATGCCTCATAAATCAAACCAAGTACCTAGTTTATTAAATAAGTACCTATGTTAATTCCTTAATTCCAGGTAGATACCTACCTATCTTTTGATCTTTCAAGTGTTGGAGGTGAAATTCTTGAAGATATTTCCGTTAACTATTTAAATTAGATTTAAAATTACAGAATGTACCTACCTACTTATTGTTAATTAATTTAATCTATGTATAATTTTATAGGTACACAATTTTTATTGCAATTTGCCAGGACGTACCTAGTTAGGTATTAGGTAAGCTAAACGGATTCCTTTTTAATTAATTTAATAAGTGTTCTTACCTACCCCAGACTATACCTATCTAGGTACCTACTTAATTATCACGGGTAGGCATTTTATTTGATTTTAATTCTTATTTTCTGTTCTACCTATAAGACCTACTTACTTCGATACTAGGTATCATCTAAACAAAATTTACCCACCTACTGAGGTAGGTATAAGATATAAGTAGGTATCGATTAATAACTCGAATGTCTAGCCTATCAGTGACTCTTCAGTCAATTTATAATATACCTAGCTATAAATAAAAGTTTTCTATAGTTTTTGCATGTATTCAAAATATGTTATGATTGTAATTTTTCCCAAAAATATATTCTAGGGAAAGAATAACTATTTACTTAATATAATTCAGATATTTTTAACAATAATTCATACCTATCAAATGATAGGTATGAATTATTTTATTTTTCTGATGTCAAACAGATTTTAGATCTAATTTTGAATACACACTATACCTATATGCGTATTTTTATTTAGGTAAGTACCCACTTATGATTAAGTTCTGCGTGGAGTTCAACTAGATAGGTACTTAAGTACCTATAATTAAATGTCTAATGGATGCTAAAATAACGGCTATTCAAACTTGCTTTATAATACCTATAATTTCTTTTACATTATATGTAACACCTAATTTACAGTTTCTAGGTAGAGTAGGCAGATAGGTACCTACCTACCTACCTATTTTATGATATGTATTTTTATATTTGTCATTCAATTCGAAAATCACTAGAGGGCTGTATAAAATAATGTAAATAAATGATTTATGTGAATTTAAATAATTTGATTCCATTAAAATCTCATTTTAAATTATAGTTTCCTTTTAAGTAGGTAGGTAAATATGTAATTTATCCATAGGTACAAAATAGTCACAGTAAATTGTTTCAATTAAATGCCTAAAATTTTAAATATCTAAGTTAACTCATGTTTAAATAAAACTCAATGAACTTGTCAATTTCATATATTCACATTTTCGTTCCATTGACTAATAACTTTAACACACTGTACATTCAAAAAACTTAAATTATATGTACAAAGCAGTGATATTAATTTTGTCGGTCCATCACAGATATCGAAATTTAAAACAAATCTAAATTTTATACCAGATACTCAAATAATAAATTTAACAAACCAACAAGAAAGCAGAAATATAAAATTAAGATTTGTTTAAAAAGACGATCATAATATTTACCGTACTTCTAGAAAATTTAAAAATGGTTTATTTTGTTGCTTAACGCCAAGGTAAATATTATGTTATGACTGGAAAGTCTTTATTTCTTCATAAAGGATATCGACGATGTAAAAAATAAAATAAATATGTTTATATTATACAAATTAAATATAAAATAAAATCACTGGGTAATTTGTATTGTATAAAAACGTTAAATTATAGAATATGTTGACAACACGTATTTTGTCAAATCGGTATTTACATATTTACAATAGTTTTTGGTACTTCTTAACCGTCACTTTATCAGGTATCGATATAAGTATAATTCAAATTATTAAAAAATATACGCCACATAAACTTATTAGGAAATGATACCTAGTAGATACATATTTTAAAAGAATTATAGTCGTTCTTTAGTTGGCGTATATTTTTAAATGATCAAGTCAATTGCTTCGGAAAAAAAATCAACTCGAGTTGAAAATAATATGTACACCACGGATGTATAACAAAAATTTAACACAAACATTGTACGCAATGTAATATTTAGGAGAAACCATCGATTTTTCATTCTATATTTCAGTCTTGTGGATTTAGCAATGCTAAAATATTTGAACTGTTCGAATGAATGCATCTAGGTATAATACCTACAGAAGATAAGAATATTCACAATAAATAACGGATATATACATGGATTAATTCAAATTAATAACCAGGACCGTTAAAAATTAAATACAGAAAAAAATAGGTATCGCTAGAGCCACAACACTTACGTGAATGAAAGATCGCAGGACTTCTTACAAATATATAGTAACAATTTCGAGAATACTGCAGGGGTTAAAGGAACCAAGTAGTGTAGTTTGGTAAAAGAGAGATATAAACAAAATTTTACAAAAGGGACTATGTACACAGTTCACAAAGGCGGCACGTCTAAGTCTTGTGCCGCGAATAGCGGCTCTCACATATGTGTTAACGGTGCCAACGGTCCCGGGCCCATGGGATCTGGCGACGCACTATATTGATGCTGCATGTGTTGAACTCCTCCGTCTGTAGGCAGGTACATTGATATCATTTGGCGAAGATCTCCTTGTTGTGGTTGTCCAGCATACTCTCTCTTTATGCCGCCTGGGGTCGGCGTGTGTAGGCCTGAGCTTGGCGACACCGGTTCAGACTTTATACTTGATCCAGAAGGGCTGTGAGATGATCCTGCTTGCTGCATACCATAAGGGGAACCCGCACTGTTTGGAACGGTGGTCGTTCCGTACGCCCCGTACCCTCCATTCATATATGCACTGTGCTGCATCTGACCCATGTCGTACCGCGCGTAATTAGCACCTCCGTATTGCTGTTGATAGGCGCTAGGATCATGCATCATGTACCCGTTGGGCATGTAACCGTTTGGCATCTGGTACATGTCCCTAGCCGTTACTTGTTGAACCGATGAAGGTGCCGATCTAGATGGGTCAGTGGAAGGAAGCAAACTCGACGCTCCTAAGGGATATTTGTCTTTCTTAAGAAGGGTTTTTGTTTTGCGTCGTGGTCTATACTTATAATCTGGGTGCTCCTTCATATGGACTGCGCGTAACCTCTTGGCTTCATCAATAAACGGCCTCTTTTCGGATTCACTCAATAACTTCCATTCCGCACCAAGTCGTTTAGATATTTCAGAGTTGTGCATTTTGGGGTTTTCTTGAGCCATTTTTCTTCTTTGTCCCCTCGACCACACCATAAAAGCGTTCATCGGCCTCTTTACGCGTTCCATATTTTGTGCTTTGCTAGAATTGTTATTGTTATTTGGAGTTTGATTGTGTTGTTGGTGTTGAGCCGCTTGATGGGCCTGATGGTGATTTTGGGGTTGATGCTGATGATGAATTTGGGGGGCTTGAGGTTGGTGATGGATTTGATGGGGATGCTGTGTTAAACTATGCATTGGCGCTTGGCCGAGGGCACTAAGAGAACCATAATTTTGTATCCCATGATGCGGCGGCATATTCGCGTGCAGGCTACCTCCTTTGAGGTCCGTTTCCATGGTCAACATTTCTTCCGACGGCGCGAACAGTTTGATGGCTTTCACTAAACACTATCACAACACTTTTACATACACCTCCGCACCGGCTGGCGTGTCTCTATGTTATGAGTCTGAAACAAACCTTCCAATCTAAGTTCCAGGGGCCCCCACCACCGTCTGTGATTGACAGCAACGCCTGCCATGTTTATAGGGAGCCAATGATGCGCAAGCTCAGGGCTCAGTCACGCCTTTAATATCCCCACTGGTCTCTCCCTCAACTGCCGTGCGCAGCAGCCTCGTTTACTAATTACTCGGCCGATTACTAATTATACCTAGCGGGTATTTTTACTGCACATCATACGAAGCAATAATAATTAATTAATATAAGCGCATCATTTCGTGTTTAAAAATCTCTAATTAATGGGCTGTTTCGTGTACATAAATTTTGCGAAGGCAGTATAATCGTTCTTCCACCTTCCACCACACGGCGGCGGCTCACAGTTCTTGTTTCTCACCAACACCACTACGTCGTTGATTTATTGGTTTCACCTAACACTTTCATTGAAAATATAATCCGAATTGAAAGAAAGTACATACATCACGCAATGACAATACAAGCAGTAAGTAAACAGGGCATCTTCATTCAATCACTTATTGTTAGTACTTATCTACTTTTACTTAATCCAAATTTTAAGTTTATAGGGCTACTCTATTCATTCTATTAATGTTAGTTATCAGATATCTAGATACACGCACCTATTGCAATGGTAATATAAGTACCAATATATTATTTTGATCCTTTTTTGCTTTTAATTTAATTTGCGGTGGTGTTTATATTGGTATGAGACTGAAAATTATGTTTTTGGACTTCTGTTTTAGTATTTCATTGAAATGAGCTGCATGTTTGATTTCCCCTCACATGCCTACTTATAAGTATAGGTATTTACTTGCAATTCGCACCTAATTCCCATTGAACATTCTGGGCAATTTTTAAAGCATGTTTATGTACCTAGGTAAACTCTATTAGGCAGATTTTCACTGATATACATAGGTACCTAAACAGACTGTGACTGTACCTTGATAAGGAAAATCTATAAAGAGATGTAGAGGAAACACATTTAGGTAGGTAGTATAAGGTACACTACAGAATATGAAGGTACAATTTGCAAAAGTTCCATATTCTGCGAATATTGTAGTTAAATTAGTGCAAAAAAGATTTTTTAAGTTTTGTAGATGGAAATGGCTATTTTTGAACATTCTCAGAAATAAGGTAAAAATACTTAGTAATCTTACTTAATACATAGACCTTTTTTAAAATCATTTCAAGTTTTTAATAAAAAATATGATACTATTTCTCATTTAAGCACTGTGTTTAGTTTGTGAATCTCTGTGTCAATGACCTTTGACATTGACCTAATTTAGATACACTACATAATATCAGTACATCTGATGTGATATGAAAAGGAGCTGGGCGAGCAAAAACAAACGTGAATGGCCGAATATGTCAGCGCTTCAGTCTATGACATTTATTTTATATTTCAACAACACGAGATGATGCGTAAAATATTATTTTTTATGGAATTAAAATAGAATTTGTACAGCGCAGATAGCGCAGTAAAGATAATATCTCGCACCGGGGTATGAAAATTACGAAAAAAAAAAAATTAGTTTCCACGACAAAATTTGAGAAAACTTCTTATATGTTTTTTGGTGTTAAAAGTAGCCTCCGTATAAATATGACTCCATACAAAGTTACGCCCTTATAATTCTATAATGATAAGTAAATGAATTAATGGCAAGAATTATGCAACGCAAACAAATTTAAACTTGCTATTAGTAGATATACTAGGTACCTAGAAGTAAATAAAATATATTTTTCCTTCTACACAGTACCTATACCGAATGTGGCGTTTATAGTGAATAAAAATAAAACTAGATTCCTAGGATTATTTATAATAAAAAAGTTTTATATGAAAAAGTAATATCTTCTCGTTTCATGAAGAAAATTAAATTTAATTATGCAATGGAGAAGCACTATATTCATTATAGTACGGCCCTGAATGAAAAAGGTAAAAATGCTACTTTATGCATGCGTGTAGCTTGTATACAGTAGACGAAGCGCTTTGAACCTTTGTCCTCTATCATTCCAGATTAGTGTTAGCACGCAGAAGACCAGGAGGGTCCCTCTTTTCGGACAACTTTCAAATGGAAAACGGTATTTAATAAAAATATTTAAACAGTAATCAAAGTAAAAAGTATTTACTATTATTACGTTTTTAAATTTCTTATGTCTTTAATAGGTAAATATATTTGTATAAAAACATTCATTATAAATACTCTATACAATTAATTAAACTAAACCAAAGCTGTATCAAAAAGAGCAAACTAAATAAAATAAAAACTTATCAATTTTACAGAAGTGTCTCGGAAAGTGTTGAAGTTGGTCTTCGTGAACGCCACCAATTTTGACGTACATCTCCCAGATGCCAGACGTACCTGGGTTGTATCAATAGCCAATTGCTCCTTATTTATAACTTTATATAAATAACACGCACAGTAGTGCATAATAATCCTCTTAATCTATAAACAAAGACGTAAATACGGTCATAACACAAACACAAATTATTTAATTTCTACATCGAACATAAGTAACGTCTTAAGCTACCAACCACACGTTTTGTACATGCGCTGGTAAAAGCAGTACTACTGCACGTCTCGATTTACCCAATAGGAATTCGTGTTTTTCCTAGACCGCGTGATTTCTGCTAAACACTTGTGGTCTGTCAAGTTTATGTATGTAGTTCCTACAGGTGCGAGGAGCCTTGCTTATGTGGTGTGGACTGTTTCTACATCTATCTGCGCGATAAATTCGGACAGGAACGGCATTCATTTTTTTGTTTCTTCGCTTCAAATACCATAGTAGGTCTTATCACATAGTAGCGCTATAATAATTATAAGGTTTTACTTCATTAATAATGGAGAATGTGGATTTTTTATTTCATACACTATAATTCTGATAGCAACTTCTTACTAGAAAATATTCCTTGCAAATTGAAGGATTAAAATTTTTTCTAACTTGAATTTATTATAGTCAGTATATAAATAAGTACAATCCGTACAATATTTGTATAGATAGAATTCCTTGAAAATTATAGGAACTACTGTAACAATTTACCGCAGCAGGGGCGAGCCTTGAAATTTTCTGCCAATGTCTTTCTACCTTGGGTGTCGAATGCGGTTAATTCCAAGAAAGTGATGCAGGAGGCTTCTTGGAATTCTATCTGAATAATTACCGTAAGGACTGTACGTTCGTGTAGATGCTTTTAAAATAAAAAGCAGTTTTAACTAGGATATAAAATTTATTATTTGACTGACCCATATTACATTTTGGTAATTCTATAGTCCTTCAATATATTTTTTATTCATATCTTCATAACTACATAATAATTTTTTTTCAAATGTAAAAATTAGGGTTTTTGTGACGGGTTTTTTACACTCCTCCAAAAATTTAGCTAGCAATTCTCTCCTTTTTAAATTTAAACGGGTTTGACACAATTTAAATATGAATTACAGATTATTAGTTACTGATTGGCTTCCCTCCTAATGCTGCTTAAATGGCGAATCTGATCATGTAATATTTTTCCTATTTTCAAGAAAAGTAAATGAAGAATATGTTGCGAGATTAATAAACAAAATCCTTGCGCCATAGATAAGTAAAAGAGTAATATAGATAGTAAGGGGAAAAACATCCTGCATCGTCTGTAAATTTTCAGGGCTCCATTAAAAATGCTAATTCATTTTATACGTTCTTATTAATGTATTTAGAGATAAGCCGGAGAGAGCTAATAACGAGTTTGAAATCATAAGCAGCGCGAGAACCGGAGAATATTAAGGTTCAAGAAAAAATTTATTAAAGAAATTATAGATATAAAGTAAATTAGTGTGCAGTAAATAAAAAAATACCTATATTAAGTTTAATTAATTCGCTATATCAGGCCACTTTTCATTTTTAATAATAAGAAAGGATATTAAGTAAGTTTACAGGTTTCTGTAAAGTAACAGTAGAGATTTATTAAATAAGAAAAAGTAAACGTAGACAAACTTACCTCTAGTCAACGCCTATTGAGATATAACCCATATAATGTTGTATCATGAAATAATATTTTTTCAAATCACTCTAAACGATTTGAGCTAGAGATTTCTTATTTAATACACTCTTTATTTAAGTATAAGTGTTCTTCTTAAATATTAGGTAAATGATATTCAGCGTGTAATTATTTGGGGCCTATCCGTTGTCTTGGCCACCTTTGTTTGTTTATATCTATGCCTACGATTAACTAAATTACAGTTTCAGATAAAAAATGATGATGCTGAAAAGTGTTGGAGAATTTTTATTCTATATTTGAAGGAGGGATTCCACTGGGTGTCCCCACAAGGAAATGCACAAACAGAAAGGTATTCATCAGGCTTAAATAAACAAATAAGGTTATGCAAATCTTGGTCAAGATATTCTTTGTTTTTGTTTTATAGGCTTACAGTGAAAAAACATATTTGAATCTTTCAAGAATGCGTAGCTTTAGATTAATAAAATTTGATTAGAAAAGTACGTATTAGTTCCTACTTATAAAACCATGTGAATAATTTTGTATTTCAGTTACTAGTACGGTAAATATGAGTTAGCCCTTTTTATGAAGCGTAGCTTTTTATTTTAATAAGTATTCTTCCTTAATATTTACGAGAAAGTATGCTTTTGTCAAATTTTCGTAGATTTTGGAGTAAATTGCATAATTTGTTTTACAACAGAAAATAAAGTTTTTCAAAACGATTCTAATTAATGATTAACATAAAAAATTGATATACAAAACAAGATAATAATAAATAAACAAGAATTAAACATATAAAAATGGATATTTGAACATAATTTAATATTATTATAGCAGAATAAATAAAAAATAATTATAGAAAAGTTGAAATATTTTTAACAAAGTTGCAAATGAAATTAGAAATAATTTTTATAGGTATAGTTTCTT